TTTTCTCGTGACAATCAATAATCCAGGTAGCTGACAACTATTTTAGTTATTGTATACATATAAGAACAAAACCTACCTGTTTCCTGTCTAAAGTTCGGAGCCGTTTTTTAATGATTTAATGTAATGCAAGAAACGCGATTTTTTCCACTCATTAGAAAGCTAAATACTTGACATAAAATTACAAAAATTTTATCTTTTAGAATATTGACAAAGCTTCAAAATGCTGATTTTTTTTTAATATATATAGAGAAGATAATTTTTTTTAATCTTGTACAATAGTTTCTTATGAGATGGTTACGACATTCAGTTTTCTCAACAAAATTATTTCCATAATATGGTCTATTTTCTAAACATTTTTTGATGAACAGTACTATCTCCATCGGCTATTAACAATTTGTAAGTCATGGCGTGCATGTGCCATTTAAAACCGTCTAGAATTATTTGACTTTTCATTGCAGTCGAAGCTTTTGTCCAATTGTTATAACATACGTGTTCTTTATATTCTCCGTATAATTTACAGTAGCACCAGTATTTGTTCTAGTTTAGAAGTACTAAGATACAGAATCTTTTGGGTTCTGTATCTTGGTGTTTTAGTTCAAAAGATTTTTTTTAATCTTCCACACTGCTTAAGTTTGCAGAAACAAAAGTTTTGAACAGAAAATATTTTGAACTAATATTTCAAACTAATTTTCAAACTAGTTTGCTTTTTGGAAGAAAAAAGCTTACTTATTTTTTGTTGTCATAGATTCTCTCAACTTTTATACACACCTAGGTATATACGCTATAATCATAATATATTAGTCTGTGTCAGCCATGTATTTATGATTTAAAAAATTTTAATAATCACAGTGTTTTTCATGTAGATCATTACTTCAAAATTAACTAATCTTTTAAATTTTTGTTAAATGTTGTTTTGTGAAGAACTGTTATTGATGTTTTTATGTTATTCAAGATGTACAACAGCCTTTTACTATTTTTAATTTTATGTAAATTAACCAACATTTTTTTATAATTTAAATGTTGGTAAGCCTTTCATTATTTTTTGTTATACCTACGCATTTAAATTTTTTTCTACTTTTAATATTTTCTTCTCTGCATTCAATCTTTCTTTCGCATTGTAGAATTTCTTGAAAGAGGAAATAAACTTTTCAATATGAAGTTGATTTTTCAATATATCGTGTGTTAAATACCGAAATGTCAAAAGTCAAAATCTACAACTTTTCAGGAGAGCGAAAAAACTTCGCCGCTTGGTACATATTTTTTTTTCTCAATACTTACTTAATTATTACAACAGAAATAAATTTATCGAATTATTACATCAGAAAAGAAAGTAGAAAAAGAAAACACGTGTACTAAGCAGTGACGTTTTTTTCGCTCTACTGAAAAGTTGTAGATTTTGACTTACGAGGTTTCGGTATTTAACCATGTATATATCATCATCAACCATCATCATAAATGCCTAGACAATCCGTCTTGGCCTGCTCGCACAGAAATCGCCACTCCTGTTGATTCCTGGCAACTTCCCTTCATCTTCTGACCCTTAGAATCCGCTTCTGACACATTATCAATCCATCTTCTTCGTGGTCATTTTTAACTTCTTCTGCCCTCTGGTTTTGAAAATGTTAATCTCTTCATGTATTCGTGATCTGACATTTTCATTTACGACCTCAAAAATCTTTCTAAGAATTTTTTTTCTCAAAATACCAAGAAGTCTTTCATCATTTTGAGATAAGATCCACGTTTGAGCCCCATATATCAAAATCGGTCTTATCAAAAAGTTCTTGTATATATCGAGCTTTACTGCACGTTTTATATTTTTATTTTTTAAATGTTTCTGGAGACCGTGAACAGTTCTGTTTTCTATTGCTATGCGTCGTTTTATTTCGTTGCTTGTCGTGTTTGTTGCGTTTACTAGCGATCCAAGATAAGTGAATTCTTTGACTTGCTCAAAGGTATGGTTGTTAATTTGAATTATCTGTTGGAAAACCAACCTATATTTGGTTTTTCCTCATTTACCATTTCTAATTAGGACCACAAGTCCTAATTCACTTGCCGCGTCCGCTAGCTTGTAAAACACTGCACCATGTCTCTTATGGTTCTATTAAAAATAGTTACATTCATTATAATATTGTATTTTCTGGTTGCCTTTTCCAAGGCAACATTAAAGAAGAGACAAGCCAGCGCCTCCCCCTGTCTTATACCATCAATTAACGTCAAAGCACATGGAGTTTTCTCCTTCAATTCTAACGCACGAACTCACGTTTTACATTGTTAGTTGGGTCAACTTAACTAACTTCGGTGGGGATCCCAACCAAAGTCTATCATTGCTTAACACTGTCATAGGCTGTCAATAACGTGTATCTATGTTATATTCTAGTGACTTTTCTAGAATCTGCCATGTGTTTGAATTTGATGTATAGTTGATTATGCAGCAGTAAATCAACAATATCCTTTGTAAAATGTTTGTCTTTCAAAAAATACATTGCCGAAGATTTTTATACGCAGATGCTAACAGAGTAATGCCTCTATAGTTCTTACAATCCAGCTGATAGCCCTTTATGCAACGCATATTATTTCATTTAGCCACTCTTCTGGTACCAATTCATTTGCCATATAAGTACTATTAGTTTATGGATTACTGCAAAAAGTTGATCATCACCTTTTCATACATTTCCCAGCAGATTTAATCGATTCCTGTGGCTTTATTTACTTTATGTTTTAAGACGGCATTTGACACTTCTATTATTGTTGGGTCTTCACTATGTAGTTGACAATGTAGATTTTGTTGATTGTCTATGTTGTAACCTCCTTCAATATCGTGTATATAATGTATTATATAAATAGATATAATATGATATAATAACAATGTACCTATACTCGTAATATGATATAATCCGTATAAAACGTCTTCCGACGTCCATTTTTCATTGAATTCGGTTGTTCCATTGTTCTTTAAGTACTTTCGAGCGCATTGAGTTTTTTATTCGTTCCATCCGTGTTTTCTACGGTAGTCCTTTCTTCTGGATTCCTGTAGTTGTTCATAGATGTACTTGTTTCTGGAGTCTACTGTCTTTCATTCATTGGACATGTCCGTACCATTTGAGATGCCTTCATTGTATGCCATCCATGACTGTACCTTCTATTCTCATACTTTATTGCATCCATTTCAGCGACATATCTTTCTTCGATGTCTCTGTTAATCGTCTCGTTTCACAACCGTGTAAATAAAATCATGCTTTTTACCATAGTTTCATGGGTTCTAGTTCTAGAGAGAGCATGTCAGCTGAGCCAAAACGAAAAACAAATCCTCCTGATTGCTTCCACTGGAATAAACTTGATTGTTTAACTGGGCCCGGACTACCTTCTTCTAATTCTTTAAACTCCCGTTTTGAAATTAATAATAATCGTTATTTTGTCTAATTACCTATTTAGTTGTCAAGACAGATACATTGTTACCTAAAGAAGTGAAAGTGGTTCAATTTAGAAATTTATATCGTAAATAATAAATATTTGAAAACTAATGCATATATTCCTCCCGCGATTTGAGCTACTAATTTTATAAATCGCACCACTAATAGACGTAAATCCCTTCATTTTAATTTCATGAATGATTTTATTCGCCACATCTCAACATTTTCCATTTCAGAATATTTATCATCAAACTGTAATATACGTTAAAAGCCAATTTGTCAGCAAAAAAACAATAACAAAAGAAAATATAAGACATAAAAAAACCAATACACTTATATCTTGTTATACATTATTTTGTTATAAAATTTTATAAAAGTTTGTGATTTAATTTATGAATTATTTACAGGACGATTATTTGTTACCTGTATGTACCCTTGCTAAGTTGTAAATTAATTATTCAATAAATAATATTACTCTGGTTTACTCGTATTATTCTAATTACCCCATAATCGCAATGAATAGAAGACCTCCCGCTCGCTTTATTGTATACACCCAAGACTTCACAATAGGGGATTGTAAGTAGGTAAAAATATAAAATTTAGTACCAGATGACTTTTAGAATATTCTTCGTGAATGGATTTTGTTTTCGTAAAGAAAGATATTTTTGAAATAGATAGCTCACTGAATTTTAACCGTTAGGATTATCGAGGATAGGCCTTAACATTTTTATGTCAACTGTGTATAATTTGTGAAAAAATCTGCCATGTTTCAAAAATGATTTGGGAGTTAAAAAATATCGTCCCCTGCCAGGTCATTAAAAATGAAAAGGCTTTTAACCGAATTTAGCTATAGACATATTTGCACAGGCCGTAACTTATGAAGCAACATTGTCCATTTCCATATTTTTACAACTTTATTAACGCCCTAAAACAATTATTTCCAATTAAATGCCGGCAACAATAAAAAACCCTAATTACCCATAAATCCCTAAAAATACACCGTTATCAGTTTATCAAACAAAAAATAACATATCATCTAAATTCAACTACACCAAAAAGCCATCAAACCAAAAATAATAAATAACTAAAACATATTGACATCAGACCATTCCTCAATAATGATATTCACCACTTTGGGAGGGATAATATCAATGGGCGGTTCGCTGCTGCACCAATAGCGATCGTTGTATTCACTTTGGTGGAAGGCAACACGCCTACCGCTAACTTATACTGAAGGGAGTTAGTGAATCCAGCTGTCTCGTATCAAACGCATGTCTTGTGTGCAGGGAAATCTTGCACATGGGTTCATAACGTAAATAACTCAATAACTTATATCGCTAGTAAAAAGTTTAGTGGCCAGTGTTTCGAAAATACTCACTGGAGCATAACACGAAACAACCCTTCTAAATAACAACCTATAAACATTCGGTGTACTATCACAAGTACTAACGGCAAACTTTTCGCGATTTTTAAAAGACAACAATAATGAAGTGAACAAGGACTGTTTTATAGATAAAAAAACATGAAGTGTCGTGTCTAATAGTGCATCAGTGTCCGTAGTGATTTAACATCAACAAAGTGGGCGAAAAAATGGTACTGGAATCTGGGGTTCTACCCCCGCCGCTTCAGCTTTATGCTGCCGCGGCTGCCCATCTAGCCCCACGGCCCCCATGGGCACCTTTGTTGCAATTCCCGGGCGCTGCCCAACTATTGGGTATGCATGGCGCTTTTTCCCCATTAAATAGACCGAGGTATCCGCATGGACTTGTACCTGGAATGAGAGCTGCTCCCGGACCTCCTTCAGAAGATAGTGGAAGTGAAACTGTTGGTAAAGGTAAGTTTGTACTACTAAGGCGTCCTATTTGTCATTTATGTTGTCAAGTGTAAGCAAAATCACAGCTATCTGAATATTAGATACATCTGAAGAAAATAGTAAAATGAGGTACACTACAATCAAAAAATAAATTTAACAGCAATAATATCTTTCTTCCTTAGCACATTACGTTTCCTACAGATTTCCTGACTGATAGCTTTCTATTTTGATACACAATTATTTTTAAAACTGCTGACCACCTTTCATGTTTTATCCTCACATTATTTGGCTTTTCATCTGTTCAGCATATTTTGGTTTATCGCTTGATTACTTTTCAGGTACCGAAATGCTCAAACCGATTAAATAAGCGATTATTATCCTAATCATAAAAACTATTAAAAATCAATACAAGAAATATAAATAAAATCATACACATAGAAGTATGTCTTCATATAAGAGGTAATCTATTATCTTCGTTCCAATTATCTGCTTGTTTGTTTTTGGGTAATTGTTAGCTTTTGAATCTCCATATTCTCCAGTTCATTCTGAATCTGAATCTATCTCCATTTAACCCGATACAATTCGAAAAAAGGGATCTCTTAGCGTGGTAAGGAAGGATCCTACTGGCTTAGCTATATGTTTGTATTATAAGCAACACATCAAATACAAGGAAATATCTTTTGAAAATAGAGAGAGGTGCAGTATTTAAGAGAATACGAAATTGCCTAAGAAAAACACTCAATGGAGTAACGGTGAAACGTTACGCATTAATGTCAACAATTAGACGTGAAGAGGAGGCAAAAACTTAAGCTTTGTTAAAAATTTCTAATACCGTTGATATCTATGCACATATGATTTTTCTATTTGTTGTTTTTCAAATTAATATTTGCCTTCAGCCTTCTTTTGTGATGGCCAATACAGAGAAATTTTCTTGTCGGCTGAAAGGTCGTTTTTGGCCATGCTTAAAAATTAAAAATATTTGCAAAATGTTCCATTATGTTTTTGTATTTTATTACTTTAACTTTATAGATTTTTTTATGATATTCACAATCCTGTTCAAGCAATAGTACAGTCTGTTTAAAGTAGAATAATGACCAATTTGTTTCTAACTGAAATTGACCAACATAATTTCTGCACTGAAGACTACAATTTACTGCCTACTTATAGAATTCTATAACTATATTTATAGTTATTATACTACTGTGTAAATTTACTGATGGTAAAAGATCGACAGGAAGGCCTAGAAAAGGGTGGAAAGACGCAGTCAGGGAAGACCTGGAGAAGATGGAAGTAAGGCCATGGGAAATAATAATAGCACAGGATCGGAATCAATGGAAGGCAATAGTAAACGCGGCAAAAACTCACGAAGAGTTGTAAAAGCCAATGATGATGTTACTACTGTGTACAATATGATTTCAATTTTTGTTTAAACTCACTTCACTGTTATATTGTCATAGATCTTGGTTCTCCCAAGTATTTCAATTTGATTCATTTGGTCAAGGAGCTGGAGAGATTCAACATTCATTTTTTTGTGGAGCTTGTGTTAACACATTAAACAGTGGTAATTTAAAAACTAATACAAACTAGAGATTTGTGTATCTCACGGATATTCACCAAGTCCAAGGATCATTAATAGACTTTGTTTTTGGAATCGTTGCATTAAGTGGATGTTTTTTTCAGCAGTATAATCCTATAGTTGTATGACTCATAACTCTAAAGAAGATTGAGGATTTGTATATCTTGTCATTAATTTTACACATTATCCAGATATTTTGCGATGTTTTTTTGCGGAATCTGAGCAATATTTTGATCGAGTAATTATATTGGTTAAGGCTATATGAACCGATTCCTTTCAATCCTTTAGTTTGATTCTGCATCGTTTTAGCCAATTGTTAATTTGCTTCCTTGGAATTTTAAAACTGTGTTGCTACTTCCTCTTGATTACTACAAATTGCAAAAACTGTGATGTCATCAACGAAGTAATGGTATTTTAAATTATTTCAGGAACATGTTTTATGTATATCCATATGCAAAGTCTGGTGTTATATTACTTCCTTGGAGCTCTAAGATCTTTTAAATCACAATCTCCTTTCTTCTGGTTTAATCTGAAGTGTCTATCTGATGTATATAACTCCAATAGAGATAAATCGTTTTTTCTGGCGCAGAATTTAATTTTTCTTATAAACCTCCTGGCCAAACCTTATAAATTTCTTAAAACACATGCGTGAAAATAGTGGCTAGACTTAATTCTTTAATTCTATAGAGCCATATAAAGTTTACTTTTTTTTTGATCTAAGCTATTTTAACAAAAACTTTTTGTAGAATTTGTTTATCGCTGGAAGTAACGATTGTCTACCTACATGATGATATATTGTTTTGTACTCTTTTTGGTACAATCAATATTTTTGCTATTGTGGGACATATTTCAGCATTATTAAAGAAACTTTAATAAGATATGTTAATTTGTTAGTTTTGTTGGCAGTTATTTCAAGATGTCACCAGTAATAAGATAAAACAAATAAGCCTTTTTCGGACTCATTCTGTGGTTGATCTCAGCTTTTACTTTTGTAAGGATAATCAGTTTACTTGTTGGTCTACCAATATTTTTTTTAAATTACTCATTAAGTTCTTCTCCATTTGAGATTAAGCAGTGCTTTTAAAAAGATTTGCAAATATTTACCTTTTAAAAAAAAACAAAGAAGTTAAAACACTTCACACTTGTAATGTGGTATAAAAAACAAATAGTTAAAACTTTTTAAAAAAGTGTAACATTTGGAATGATGTAAACCCATATATGGAGGTCTCACCGATAACTTTATTGTTAGCTTCAATTACACAAGGCACTGAGGATGATCTGTTCAGATCGAAAACGTTATGTTAGTACTTAAATTTTGACGATACTTTTTTAAAAAGTTTTAACTATTTGTTTTTTATACCACAATACAAGTGTGAAGTGTTTTAACTTCTGTGTTTTTTTAAACGATGGTGTGCAGCCAACTACGGGGTTTTTCCCATTAATTTTATTTACCTTTTTGTTGGTATTGATTCCGCCCTAATGGGATTTAGATTTTTCACAAGTTTTGAAGTTTTTTAGATCTAATAATCGGTATTCTTTTACATAGTGGATTCACTAAGAGACTATTGTAGATATTCTAGTTTTATAAGTTTGATTTCCAGTTTGTTTAAGATGTTGAGCAGCTTTATTTAAATTAATTTTATTTGTAGTATTCCGGAATATGTTGTCAACCATGGGGCAATTTTCGTAGCTATTATATTTTTTTGTATACCTATTTTGGGTCCTGTTTTTTTAGTTAAGTATATTGGTTGTAACTGATGTGTTATCGCAAACCGTTGGATATTATTGTTAACTTTATGTAACATATGATATTTGTCTAATTTTAAACTAAAGGCAGTATAATCATCATCATCACCCAGCCTTTGCTCTGTGCTCTATCTTGAGCACTATTCATCAAATTTCTTGACATTTTCTTAAGATCGTCAGTCCAGCGAATAGAGGGGTTATTCTACTTCTTTTGTCTAACCTCGACCTCCACTCAAGCAATCTCTTCGTTCACCTTTCATCGCTGATTGGGGTGATGTGTCTGACCCAGTTCCATTTCAGTGTGTTGATTCGGGATAATTTCTGTTCTTCGTCTTAAGTCTTCATTTCTAGCTCGGTCATGAAGCGATATACCTAGCATTTACCTTTTCATTTTCCTCTGAGCTATTTGCTGCGAGTTAGAAGTTGTAGCTGTCAATGTCAAAGTTTCGGCACCATAGGTCATCACAGGCAACGCACATTTTAAAGAAATTGGTAAATTGCTTTTAAAGATGTCTTCGAGCTTTTATAGGCTGCCCATGCTAACTTTATTCTTCTTCGTGGTTCGAATGTGTGCTTGTCCCTTGTGATCTTTATTTCGTGTCCTAGGTATATGTATTTTTCCACCAGCTCTACTTCGTTGTCTCCAATATTAATATTTCTGCTACGTGCTAAGTTTGTCCTAAATTTTGTTTTGGAGATGTTTATTTTAAGACCCACACAGGCACACACTAACTGAAGTTCATTAGCATTATACACGTTTCAAGTGGGATTGCACATATCGCCTTGAGGTTGTCCGAGAACACAACTATGTCGTCTGCGAATTTCAAATTTATTAATCTTCTACCGTCAATGTTCAGGCCTTTCTCTTCCCAGTTAAGTTTTTTTACAAGCATATTCTTGTACTGCGGTAAACAGTTTAGGCGATAAGGTATCACCCTGTTGGACTCCTTTGCCGATTGGGATATGATCCGTGTTTTTATGTAATTTCATCGACAAGTTGCGTTCTTGTACATATTGTAAATTAACCTTGTATATTGATAGTCAATGTGGCAGTCTTGTAGTATTTCCAGAATTTTGTCAAATTCTACCGTGTTTTTATGGAAATCTACAAAAGTCAGAACCAGTGGTCGATTGTATTCGATAGTCTTTTCTATTACCGTTTTATTACTCTGTAGGTGATCATTTGTTCCAAATCCGGTACGAAATCCCGCTTGCTCTATTAGCTGGTAGAAATCAAATTTTTTAAGACGATTTGTTACTCAAAAATTTAAGGAGTTTTTATAGGAGACTAAGAAGACTTAGTATAATAAATATTGTTAAATCTCTGGTATGTTTTATAAATATTTGTACATTTTTTATAATATAGAAAGATTTTAAAATTACCCAGCCAATAATTAAGAGACCTATCCATCCAAATTTCTTTCTGTAATAATTATTTTTTATATTGGTAAAAAGATAATATTTCCTGGACTCTGCATAAAATACTTGTACCTATGACACGAAAAAATACTCTAGCTAATTGCTAATTGTACTGTTAGAAAGAATAATGCAACAAATTGTAAAAAAAGGTTCAACTGACTAAACAATCTTGGAAACAAGTTTGACAAAGCTGAAGAGAATGGGAGAAGAAAAGCTTCACCTAGCAGACTTAAAAATGCCGTTGGGAAGTCACTTCTCTAAAAATCAATAATTAATTGAT